GGGGGGGGGGGGGGGGGGGGGGGGGAGTTTTTGGGCAGTCGGGCAATATTTGCTGAACAGTCGGGCAATTTTGGTTTATTTAAAAAATAAATTGGACAAATTCTGTCAATTTTGTGGTCAATTTTGTGATATTTCCGAAATTTTTGTTAGGTTTCGTAAAATTTTGGTATGTCCGGAAAAAATTTTGGACCCCTAAAATGGTACACTGACCGAAATTTTTTTGGCGGGGGGGGGGGGGGGGGGGGGGGGGTCGCCAAAACAAATTCCGGAAAAAATTTTTTCGCGTATCGGGCAAAACATCATCGATTTTAATGGAATATCAATTCTCCAGATTTGAAAACTTCCAGGGTTGGCAGCCCTGTGTTTGATTAATTAATAGTTTGATAAGCGGTTGTAATGGCGTCTTCACCAACACTGCTGGATAAAAAGAAGATTGAAGAGATTTTGGCATCGAAAGAAATATTTATGTTCGACTGTGATGGTAATTAATGTCTGCAACATATTTAATTATTTATATTGGTTAATTTGGAACGTTGCAATACTGTAATACCAGTAAGCAGTAAATTTTAAATTTCAGGAACTAAGACTCAGATCTGCCAAGGTGTTGTGAATAAAATGAGGGAGATTACAATACTTGTTTTGTGATTTTCCTCCATCTTTATGACAGACAATTTTCCATATAAATATGTATTTTTTTCCAATTGCCAATTAAGGGGAAAATATAATGGCCAAGGCGAAGTAAATTGACATATTTCAGTTTCAATATAGATATAGTGATCGATTGATGGCAATGTTTTGTTCAAATGTAAAACTATATTCTACATTGACTGCCATTCATGATAAATTGCAAGGAAGCTAGAACTGCTGACGCCATAACTCAATGATCTGCAGGAAATTGTGCTGAAATTAGCTAATAATAGATTGACATTTCCACAGCTGTAGTGAGTTGTAGTCCTGAAGGTGTAGGAATGCAGTCAATCTTCAACACATTTTTCTGCCGAGAGTAGGGATGGGCGATGAGCTTTTTCATTCAATATGAATTGATATTTGCCATTTTTTTTCGATATTAGATATATTGATATTTTCCCAACTTGAACATCCACAACACCAAAAGACTATTTCAGACCTCTCAACTCTCACGCATTTGGCGTGAGTCTCACACAATTCGCTTCACTCTCACGCCACGTTTAGTAAATCTCACACATATAGCAGTTTCATAGTATTTTTTTCAATAATATAATATTGTATTCTTAAATGCACATTAATCATTATACGGATCGCGAGTCGAATATATAATCGTGTGTTCTTGTTTCTGCATATACGGTCCGACAATTTGCCCGCAATTTGGATGCAAAATAATAGGCATATGTAAATATGGCAGACAAAAGGCAAAATCAGTCCGAGCAGAATTCTACATGTAAATTATCAAAGGCAAATTAAAGCTGACTACTGTATGTCACAGAAATACAGTTATTGTAACTAAAGTGCCTTCACAGTTGTCAAAACACCAACTCTCATAATGTACGAAATGCCATTTCAGACCCCCGGACTTTTACAAAGGTGCATGTCATCCACATCCCCAATCTCACTCTTAACTTTTCTGCAAAGTTGAGAGGTCTGCTATTTTCATTTCTTCGATGCCAAAATCATGCTGGTTGAATAAGTTTTCAACACATTTATTTTCAGGTATATACTTCATGTTATGGGGCTATAATGGATCTGGAATTCAATTGTAACCACTGACATATATATAGGTGTATATATGTCAGTGATTGTAACTAACATAACCACAAACTCTGATCCTGCCCGTGGACCATTCCCGTACCGAAAATCATGGCGTGACATGAGCGATATTCGGGCCATAAAATTGAGCGAGACATGAGCAATAATGAGCGTGACGATACACAGCGATACACGGCGTGTCTCAAACGTGACATTTTCGAGCGAGACATTGGGCGAGACATGAGCGATAATGAGCGTGACGATACACCAGCGATACACGGCGTGTCTCAAACGTGACATTTTCAACCAAATTTCACCGGTAGTGGGCCATACATTTTTCAGGCCATATTTTTGTCTGGCCTGATTTTGGTTGTATTATGGCTCCACATTTAGGCCGGAAATTAAGAAACGCAATCGCATTTACGCAGACAAGTAAAATAACACATATCAATACACACATACCACGATAGCACGCAATGCTATTAAATCAGGTCAAAAATATAAAGCAAGTTTTTAAAAATTTAGTAAATTAAAAATCATTGACAATAGTTTACACTTCAAACTTTTGGATAAAATGCATTTGTAAAGTTAGCTTTTGTTCAAGTATTTTTATGCATATTTTGCTTTTCCGTCAACAGCGATTAAATTACTTTTATATTTCAACTTTCAAGATAAAACCACTGGATTGAAAGAACATCACACTATTGCAACGAGCTTTTGCTTATACTAAAAGCCTTATCGACTTGTTTTAACTAATCTACATTGACACTAGGGGCATTTATATGGGCGAAAATGAGCTGCGGCTTTGAGATGGACGTCGCGAGCGACTCATGTAAACGGTCAATTTGTCCGCAAGCGGCAGCTAAAATATTAAAGACAACAGGTTTGAAAGCTAGGCCTAAGTCACTATTCGGGCCACGGTTTCAGACTTAATTTCGCCATTGCATTATATATGACAAATATGAAAATCGGATTTTAATTTCGGCCTTGAATATTTTGTAGGCCTTTCTATTCCAGCAAATTTCTGTTAAAACATATAAACATCTAAAGTTTTTATACCTATAAAAAGATTGTTCGCAATGCATGGTTTTGAAAGCGTAAAGGCCCAAACAGACCGGACGCGATTCGGCAACGCGACGCGAATTTTCAATGACATTTACCTTTACTATTTTTCTATGTTTTTCAAATATTCTTAACCACTTAAGCAATTTTAGCTATTTGGTCTGCATATCTTGTAAAATTTTTATCCGTTGACGGTTTTATTTGTTTTTAAAATCTGAAAATTCGCGCCGCGTTGTCGAATCGCATTCGGTCTGTGTGGGCCTTAATAATTACATTTAAAGTAAATTATGTATTGCGGTATCACGCGCAAAACTGTACAGAACAGGTAAACGTTGAGATTAATTACTTACATTTAGAAGAAACTTGAAGACTGTCTCCAATGCATATATTGCCAATGCCTTGAATCTCAAAGTCGCACAGAAACTTTGCGAGGGACACTATCATTTGACTTCAACGTCGCCTGGCTGAAGAATTACCGAGAGTAAAGTGTAATATATAACGATGATCATTGTTGAAAATCCGCGACTTTTCCCTTGTACGTTCGACCAACCGTGAACCGTGTATGGTTCGCTGCTTGAAAGCGATGCGTGTGTACAGCAAAATAAAACCAACTCAAATTGCGCGCCTTGTCATCTGAGACAAAACAAATTAAAATTTTAACGTAACGCTCTTGTCGTGCTCAGTTTCTTTCAATTTTCGCCGGATATGATAATAATCTCACATTTTCATGGCACGCAAAGGAATTTCTGTTGCTTGTCTCGCTCTGCCTCGCTATATTATCGTCCATGTTTCGCTGTAAAAGCAGCGTGACAATTGTCTCTTTTGAGCGAGACAATTTATCTTGCGATGTCACGCTCATTCAGGCCAAATTCTCGGCCATAAACAAGCGATACAAATGTCTCGTTCGTAACAGGCAGCGAGACAAAACCAATGTCTGGTTGTGTCTCGCTCAATTACCGCTGCTTTAATTGGTTTATGGCCAGATACTGGCCAGAATCTCGCTCAGTCAGGCTGTAACTTTTCGTACGGGTTATGCACCATAGAAAATGAACTATTTTTTTATGCCTATTTAATAGACTTTTTAGTATCATTTTCATGGTGAGTCTGCTAACCAAAATGAAAAGAATATTGCAGGCTCAGAAGTATTGCAACAATCGATATTTCTTGCCAGTGTGTTAATAATAATGTGTTATTTAATTAATTTAATATTAACCACACTACAGGCACAGTGGAGCCTGTTTAAAAGTGTGTGTGTGGGGGGGGGGGGCAGGATAGGCCTCAAGAGCCTGAATTTTATCTGGTAATTTTTTTATCCACCAAAAAGGGTGGGGAGCATGCCCCCGCTCCACGGTCCCTGCACTATATCTGTTTATTATCTAGTGTTAAAATCCAGCCATTAATTAATTAATTGACAATGGGTTATTCCAGAAAACATCAATTTTATTTATGTTCTTACTATTATCAGATATAAATTTTTGTCCCCTCCCTCTCCGGATGGCAGAAATTTCCTCCGTGGGGGGAGTGTAGATCTTTTCTGGAATGTCCCAATTTGTAATAAAGTGTCCTTACTTTGTTATTTTATCTATTAAACTCCAGATAGCTAAAGTGTTAATTTGTAACACGTACTGACCCTCTATATAAATTATACATTTTCAGGCAATATATTTAAAAGGATTTTCGCCCCTTGTTTACCTGAAACATGGAAGTCTTTTAGTTTGTTGTCATAATGTCTTTCTTAAACATTTCCTGTTATTTAATATCTTAGCTGATCAGAAACATCCACCAAATATTACATTTGGTGGGAAATTTAAATGTTCTTTTAAATAGAATGGCATTTAGAAAACAATTTCATTTGTTACAGGCAGGTTCCAAGTTCAAATGATGTTCAGAAACGTCATTTGGCAGGGAAAGTGTTAATGAAATTCGATGTAGATTTTAATTATACATCTAATTTTTTTGTTCTTAGGTGTTCTTTGGAGGCAAAATAATGTTTACCCTCAAGTGCCAGAACTTATTAAACACCTTCGAAACTTGGTAATATTTACAATACTGTAGCTAGCTATATATACAGCTAGTATGGATCTTATTAACATTAGAAGGCATACTAGGTACAGTTTAAGATCATGTGGAAGTTAAGTCACACTATTGCCACCAACAGGAAAATTTTTGACGAATCTTGGTGGGAGAGCATTTAAATCAGCTGCTCCAAATCTTTGAAACGTTATGCCAGCAAATATTCGTAATATGGACAATTTAAATCTATTTAAAAAGGCATTGAAAACCTACTTATTTAGAATGGCCTTCGGACATTGAAATACTTTTTATAAAGTGAACTCTGATTTTAGATGTAAATAACTATAATATAGTAACTGTAATTTAAATTTTAGATTTTTATGAACATATCTGCATGCTAATATGCGCAATATAAATTTAATTATGTTAATGTTATATGGTGTACTAGCTATATATACCATACCTGTTAACCTGTAATATTAACTGTATCCCAACCAGCTTTAATTGTGCCAGGCATAACAGTAGGTTTACCAGGATACCACATGTTTTTTTAAATTTCATGAAACATGTAATATTTCGTGTATACCTAGGTTTCAAAGGCCTGTTTGCATATACAGTCACTCTCAAATGCCAAAGCATGACATGGATAAACCAAATTCCCTAGCTACTGCTATATTACAGTACTGGTGACATCAGAATCAGTTCAGAGACAATTCAAAGTTGAGATGTCTTAGTTCTTAGTTACAGTTACTTAGTTACAGCATTTCGAAATATATTTGGAAATTAAAAGAAAACAAACAAGATTTCGACATAACTTGGTCTATACTGAAACGCGCTGTTTCTTATACGAGAGGATAAAAAAATGTAATTTGTGTTCAGTGGAAAAACTCTGAGTGTATTTTGAAGGAAAAAAACAAACAATTTTCACTTAACAAAAAATCGGAAATAGTTTCGACATGTAATCATAAAAAGAAATTTCTAGTAAACAATGAAAGGAATGCATATATTGTTTGACGCCCACACGCCCACGTTTCCGAAATGTGAAAAGTTTAATTTAAGCGGGCACTTTTCGAAATTTGTGAGCCACCTGATGATTCCTCTTGGATAAAACAGGCTGTTGTGGCAACATTTTGAGGTAAAACCACTATATATATAATATACCTCTGGCACGAAACAACCTGGCGTACCTGCAACCTCGTTCCCAGGCTCTTGGCGTACCTGCTGCTGCATTTTTTGCAACTGCTCCTGGTTAGATCAGAAAATTGTATAATTATATTAATGTTTATACGCTCGAAATTTTCATGAACAACAAAAACCCTTCAACTGCAGTTCTATCGAGCGAGTTGCAGAAAACATTATTATTCCGACCTGCACATAATCTACCCTGCCTTGGTGAAAAGTACGTATTAATATGTACTACTTAGTTCGTCATGGACAGGTAGCTTACAAGAGCTCGATTGCTCCTACCTGCCACTCTTAAACTACATTATGAAATATATACTGCATACAGTATAGAGCCTGTGCCTTGCATGGATATCCCATTTGCACTAGCCCATTTGTGCCTACACCTTGTAATCTATACTACTATACCAATAAAGCTAATAACAATATTTTCCTACTAACTCTTGTGGAAAGGCGTACACAAATGTACTAGCTAAACATTTGCTCAAACAAAGCTTTATGGTCAACAGTGAACCGTCTAAGTTTTAATTTTTTGCCAATTAGATGATTGTATATTCTTAACACAGGTTAATTACATGTAGGTAATTTATACGGATACTAGTTTTATCCATACCATGCCATAAATTGAGTTTTCTGCATTAAATGAACTTCAAGATGTTTAATACCCCACTTCCCTGTCAGCCACTTTGACCGTACTACTCAATAATCATCCCCAGTGTCCTTTGATAGAGTTGAAGAAAAGGCGCAGAACTTGTATTAATTACATGACGTCATAGCGTGTAATAATATTTTTCATACTCTTATTCAACAACTCCAAATCCAGTCATTCAGTTCATATGATGCTGCATTTAGGCAATCTGAAATCGAAAATTCTTTTAATAAATAACAATATCGTTTTTTAATCACAGAGTTTTGAGCACTAGCCATTTTCAGAAAATATTTACCTACTGGTGTTTATACATGAATTTTTTTTTATAGGGCAAGAAAGTATTTTTTATTTCAAATAATAACACCAAGGCTCGCAGAAATTATCTTGAGAAGTTTTCTCGTCTAGGAATCGAGGCTAAAGAGGTATGTTGTTATGATTTGTTAGTTCATGGCAACCAGGTGTACTATATCATGAAGATACATTTCTGCTTTGCTACACTTGATTGAAAATGAATGAACGCGATCTGTGAAGTACATTCGCGACCCAACGTTTCAACACTCCTGTCTAGTGTCTTCGTCAGGGCCAGGCACCATCTTCACTCGTAAAAATGCGTGTTTGTAGCGTTAGAATGTTATGCACGTATGTAATGATGTGTAACTCTGTAAATTGATGTATAATTATGTAAATTTGTTAATTTCATAGTGTGTGACACACCGTTTTTTTCCATGAAAGACCTTTTTCGCTCGGAACGTCGATTTACAAGCAATTAATTAGGTAATTAGCTCACCTCTATAAATAACGAATTATTTATCCTAAATTTATTATCCGCAATTTTTCTTCTGGTAGGATGAAATTTATTCCTCTGCTTATGCAGCTGCATATTATATCAAACATGTGGCGAAATTGGAAGGCAAGGTTTATGTGATGGGAACTCCTGGTTTGGTCGAGGAACTTGATAAAGAAAATATTCAACATATAGGCTCTGGGGTAAGAAATCCAAAAAAACCTTCATTGAAAATATCTTTTGCTTACATGCTCACCACGAATGCGTGTATCAAAGGGCCATTTGTTTTCCCACCTCTAGAAAAACGAAAATGAGTCGCTGATTTCCGTTTTTCAATTTTGAAAAACAGCTTGGAAAACAAAATGAGCATAATTATATACTTTAAATTTATCAAAGAGCCAACTGTTTCCTAAGCGCTTTTGGAAAACAAAATGAGCATAGTTATATACTTTAAATTTATCAAAGGGCCAACTGTTTCCTAAGCGCTTTTGGAAAACAAAATGAGCATAATTATATACTTTAAATTTATCAAAGAGCCAACTGTTTCCTAAGCGCTTTTGGAAAACATAAACGATCTTCAAATTTCGTTTTCAGATTTTAAAGACAGAAAACGGATTTTGAAACAAATTTTGTTTTCTATTTTCCATATAAGAAATCAAGAATGGCACAAACTTCGTTCGGAACGTTTTCGGGTGTAGGAAGTTGAAGATTGATTCCCCCCGGTTATTTTTTGCATAGCAATTTATTATGGCTGCTCTGGAAGAACACGAAGGTTTTATCTGAGAATTTTTGTCGAAGAAAGGAAACACCATAGAAGATTTAGCGGATGTTTTGCAAACAACGTATCCAGAGCAGCGAGGTTTCAGTTCTAGAAGTATCAAACGTTGGATGCCAGAAACGGGTTCTGCCGTCTGGCAAGTCGAATTAGACGAGGAGAGCAGCTATGCTACAACCTTTGGGACGCCTTGGGGAAGATACAGGTGGTTGAGGATGCCGTTTGTTATTGCCCCAGCTCCGGAGGAATTCGAAAGAAGACTGTATGAAGCACTGTCTGGATTGAAGGGTTGCAAGGCGATAGCTGATGATATCCTGGTGTTTCGTTCTGGCGAAACGGAAAGAGAGGCCCGTGAAGATCATAATGGCAACGTTTTAAACCTGTTGCAACGATGCAGAGAGAAGAATGTGAAATCGAATGGTGAGAAAGTGCAACTACCAGGGTGTCCACGGGCCTTGAAAATCCTGGAAAATCCTTAAATTGGAAAAAATATATTCCAGCACTGGAAAGTCCTTGAAAATCAGTAGAAATCCTTGAAAGTCCTGGAATTAATTCCTTAACCTCCAGCTGTGCCAACATTAGTGATTTTGATTAAAATACTGAATAAAGTGAATTATTTACGGCAAATCCGTGCCATTTTGTGTGAATTATTTACGGTAAATCCTTGAATTTCACATTCACCAAAGGGTGAACACCCTGAACTACTCTGTATAGAGGTGTATCGTACATGGGACATTTTCTAAAGGTGGATGGTCTCAAACCAGATGAAAGCAAAGTGAAAGCAATTACTGAAATGCCGCGACCGAAAGAGAAGAAAGCTGTCCAGCACGTTTTGTGTATGACCAATTATTATTGTTCCAATGTTGGCGGAGGCGACAATCAAAGAGCGCAATGAGTTCGTGTGGGATGAAGAGGTTTAAAGCCGCGTTTTTCCGAAGTAAAACGAATCCTGACATCGGCACCTGTTCTGAAGTAATTCGACCCCACCATAACCCCGGTTTTATAATGTGATGCCTCGATGAATGGATTGGGAGCTTGCCTGATGCAAGATAACCTACCGGTGGCGTATGCATCTCGTTCACTTACCCAAACCGAAGTCAATTATGCACAAATAAAAAAAGAATTGTCGGCTATCATTTTCGAGACGGATCATAAGCCACTCGAGACGCTATTTAAGAAGAGTCTTCACTCCGCCCCAAAGCGTCTTCAACCAATGCAACTAAGACTTCAGAAATACGATTTCACAGTCACGTGTAAGAAAGGATCATTGGTGGTGATGGCTGATGTACTGAGCAGAGCATTCCTTCCAGCTTCGGAGAGCGTTCAGAATGAAGAGCAACCTGCCGATGTGTTTACGAGTGATACAAGATCTACCATGCAGTGAAATTGATATCGAACAAATCAACTTTTAATCCCTTTTTCTTTACAAAAACGTTTGATACTTCCAGAACTGAAACCTCGCTGCTCTAGATACGTTGTTTGCAAAACATCCACTAAATCTTCTATGGTGTTTCCTTTCTTCGACAGAAATTCTCAGATAAAATCTTCGTGTTCTTTCAGAGCAGCCATATTAAATTGCGCCATTCTTAATTTCTTATATGGAAATTGGAAAACTGCGCCATTCTTAATTTCTTATGTGGAAAATGGAAAACAAAATTTGTTTCAAAATCCGTTTTCCGTCTTTAAAGAATCTGAAAACGAAATTTGAAGATCGTTTATGTTTTCCAAAAGCGCTTAGGAAACAGTTGGCCCTTTGATATATCTAAAGTATATGCTAATTTTGTTTAAGATTTTTAAATCTTAAATGTTCTTCAAATTTTCAAATATTTGCTCAAATGCCTGTTGCCCATTTGGGAAACGTATGGCACTTCGAGTTCAGTCTGCAAACGTCCAGTTTTGTAAAATGTTCTAACCACTCAATTTCGATGCAAAATTGTGAGTGAAAATTTACAAAAACGTGATGCTTACACATGCGTTGCGGCATCTTTATTCAAGCGACTTAAATTTGAATCCCATGCAAATGAGAATAATTTCAATACTCACACAATAGGTTTACATGCAATTCCCAACGGTGAAATAATGTGATTTCGACTGCCATTGTTCGATCGGATCGGATCTGGCTATTTTTGACCGCAATGATACAAGAAAGGTATAACATTCAACAGCTCAAAGCCTGATGTTTGGATAAACGGATAAATGGATAAACCCTGGATAAACGTAATATATAATGCATGCACGATAGCATGCCAAAGTTGGATTACCTTTTTTTGATACACCCTGTATTTAGATAAAATTCCACTGCTCTTAGCCAATCAGAATTGAGTAATTTCATGTATATTGTAAGTTGAGAATTTCCAGTATATTTTTTTAAGTGGAAAATTCCACATTTATTTGGCGGAGCTTTCGATCCATATAATCCTGGATGTTTATCATTGCAAATAAAATCAACGTGCATGATTCACAAAACAAATCTTTTTTTACTGCTTAGACTTTGCAAGTATCGACAAACTGTTGTGTTTAGTTTGTATAGTTATTTATTTATTTATTATAGCTTCGCCAGTACTTACATTAGAACATAAAATTAATTTATGTGGCAGGGTGTTCGCAACAGCGGTTAGCCAATTACTGCGGTCCCAACAAAACGTAACGTAAACTAACAAATAGCTATAAGTATATAGCCACACATGCGTGTGACTATCTACATACAATAAACATTCACATTTCAATAACAACACGATATCGGACATGACAAGCTACGAACAGAGTTACATTTAAGACAAATAGTTTTAAAGGTTCGAGGGTTTAGATTCTGGAGAATAATTATAATGCTTATAGCGATGTATAGAAATAGTTGAATAACACTGATTTAAAAGTAGTAAGGTTGTCCATATTGAAGTTTAGTTCATCTGCTAGTGTATTCCATATTCGACACGATCTATTAAGGTAGGATTTCTGAGGTAGGTAGTAACATATTTCACTGTGAGTGTCGAAGTTGATCGGGTAGATGTGCGGGTAATCGGAACGAGTGGAAATGCGTGGAAAGTTAGTGTTACCAAACCATGAGTAATTTTGAAGAAGAGAACGAGATCCAAGTATGCATGACAGTAACATATCGGGAGTATAGGTGTAAGGATAGTAATCTTGTTGTTAATATACATGCTATTATTTATATTCTAACTAGCCTGATGAAGTAGGCTTTGATGAATTGGACAAAGATAAAGGTTTTGAACTAGATCCTGAGGTAAGATAACATGGGAAACGCTTGCTACTCATGCGTAATATATTTTTGTTATTTTCTTGGGTTGTTAGAAAAACAATTTGTATGGCGGAACAACCCGATTGAAATGTCTCTTTTGTAATGTCCTTTGCATATCATTACTCTATTAACTGCAACATTGTCAAACTTGTTCCAAAAATGTATTTCTAAGGTTATCGACGCTGTATATAATAATGGATTGATATGTATATACAGTATCACCATTTCTCCACTCTCAAACCAACTGAGGATATCCAAAAACTGTTGAAACACGGAATCACAAACTGAGCATATCCAAAAACTGTTGAAACACGGAATCACAAACTATATACAGCACCCTTATACTACTCTAAATATTCGTGTTTAACCAAATGTGATCGATATGATCACAGATGAAACTAGTAGCACCCTGATATTACTTTAAATATTCGTCTCTACTCAAATGTGTGTATGACCATGTTTATACATAAACCATTGCATAATTCATAGCCATGGCTATAGTATATCGTTGTCCGTGTGTTGTAATCGAGTAAAAAATGTTAAACATTAATTGTTGGTTTTGCAATTCACAATTGGGAAGCGTGAGGGGAAACGTGTCGTGAAACGTTAAAATATATACTGTAGTTAGTACTAGAAGTGTATTCGGCTACAATTAAATATTGATATAGTGTTGTAAGGCAATAAGTCCGACACGTCGTGTTTCTTGTAGGTTGTTTGTGTTTTACATGGTTTTGATCCTTATTACAACTACAATAAGATACGTAAAGCTGTTAACTACCTCGCGAAGGATACTGTTCCATTCATCGCTACGAATAAAGATATGAGGTTTCCTGCGACGGATGATTTCATTGCACCTGGTACGTATCCAAAATTGTTTTCACTTTTGTTCATTTTACGCTGTCATTTACTTTCATTTTAATATTTCTTAGAAATTGTCTAATTCTGAACATATTGTCTGTCATATTTGTTTTTCATTTTTTAACGGCAGAGTATCCGAGTTTGGAGGTAGGTGCCGTTGGTGGCCAAGGCTAGTCGGCGATCTAGCCTTGTCGGGCAAATGACCGCAATGGCAAACATTAGGCAAAACACTGGCAAACATTTATGGCAAACTGGCAAATGGCAAA